TGGGAGTTCTACTTAGGTTTCGTCAGGGTCCTATTGCTTTTATGACTGATATTGAAGGGATGTTCCACCAGGTTAGAGTGGCCAAAGAAGATGTGAATTTTCAGCGTTTTCTTTGGTGGCCAGATGGAGACATTACAAAGGACCTCGAAGAGTACAGAATGGTTGTTCATATATTTGGTGCAGTATCATCACCAAGCTGTGCAACCTTCGCCTTGCTAAAGACAGCTGACGATAACCAAAAACATTATGCAGAAGATGTAATTAACACCATCAGGCAGAATTTCTATGTCGATGATTGTTTAAAAGCTGTAAATACAGTGGACCAAGCTTTATCTCTGTATGATCAACTAACAGAAGTGTGTGGAAAGGGAGGTTTTCGGCTTAACAAATGGATCTGCAATGACCGTTCCATTCTCAGTGTAATTCCTCAAGAAAAACCGAGCCAAGGCAGTGAAGACACTGGACCTCAATAAAGACCAGCTTCCCATGGAGCAAGCTTTGGGAGTTCAATGGGATGTAGAAAAGGATGCGTTCACTTTCAATATGGCGATCAAACAACATTCAACAACAAGACGTGGTATTTTATCCATTGTGAGTTCAATTTATGACCCTTTAGGGTTTTTGTCGCCCATCATTCTTTCTTCTAAACTAATCCTGCAGAATCTGTGTAGGATCAAGCTTCCTTGGGATGAGAAGGTCCCTTTGAATATTGCTCTAAGGTGGCAAAGATGGCTTGACGAGTTGATTCCTCTAAACACCTTTAGCGTGAGCAGATGCTTTACATGCAAAGATTTCGGCAGCATAGCATCTGCACAGTTGCACAGCTTTTCAGATGCAAGTGAAGTTGGGTACGGAGCTGTGTCATATCTAAGGCTTTTAAATGACAAAGGAGAAGTCAATGTAGCATTTGCTTTAGGAAAGGCCAAAGTAGCGCCGCTTTAAACAAACAACAATACCAAGACTGGAATTGGCAGCCGCTGTCCTAGCTGTACTACGCTTAGACAGGATGTTGAAAGCTGAATTGCAGTTTCAGTTTCATCTGGATGACTCTTTCTTTTGGTCAGACAGTACCACTGTACTGAAATACATAGCAACACAACGAAAAGATTCAAAACTTACGTAGCAAACAGAATCTCTTTATTCACACCCATTCAAAGACCTCTCAGTGGAAGTACATCTGCTCTAAACTAAATCCTGCAGATGCAGCATCAAGAGGATGAAAACGGAAGAATTTCTTCGATCTCAAGCTTGGATCAATGGACCTGACTTTCTCTTAAAGTCATCATCGCAATGGCCTGAAGCAAAGGAGGAGGTGAGCTTAATTTTGGATAAAGATCCAGAAGTGAAAGAAAATATCTGTGCTTGTATTACTGTGACTGATCAAAAAGAACCTCCAACAAGTCAGCTCTTGAATTACTTCTCGGACTGGACTAATCTGAAAAGAGCGGTAGCATGGATTCGTAAGTTTCTTGAAGTTCTGAAATGGAAAGTGAAGGAGAAAAAATGCAGAACCAACTCTGAAAACAGAAAACAGTCAAAGTTACCTGAGAATCTAAGTCCAATGCTTTGTGTTGAAGATCTGATTTCAGCAGAAAAGGCCATTGTATCGTTTGTGCAGAAAGAACATTTCA